TCCTCTCTCTTCACGTCGCCGCACGTGCTCACCATGCTCAAGAAATTTGGGTCGTGACGTATCAGGCCTGGTTGGGTCCATTACCACCCCCACTATGAGATTCCTTTTTGTCGCTTACAATGGTAAAAAACAGAGAACAGATTTTTTAGGGGTTGGGTGATTAGAGAGAGAGAGAGACATTCGAGATCCAGAGAGAGGTATGTCTCCAAGAAATTGAGAGAGGGAGAATTGCAGAGAGGGAGGATAGCAATGGGGTTTGGCCATTTGGAGAATCAGGGGAAGACCAAAAGTATTGAAATGATTTTAGGGTTGGGGCTTTGTCCTTTGGGTAAGCTGAAAATTTGGGTCCGGATACCCACCAGGTCAAGTATAGCAGGACCCGTACCCGAACCCGAGACTATCCGAGTATCCTTTATTGGACCCAGACCCTACTTGCGTGTTCAAAACTTGAACCCATACCCGGACCCATGTCGGCTATACCAGGCAAGTTTGGGTCGAGTCCGGGTCCTTTGCCACACCTAAATATGCGGGTTGGTCACATGCTAACCATGTCCTTAAGTAAATACTCATATGTATGAATTCCCTAATACACACACACATACACACAAACACACACGTGTCGGGTATACCTAGCAGGTATGGGTCGGGTCCAGCTTCATTGCCACCCCTAAATATGTGGGCTGGTCGCATGCTAATCGTGTCCTTAAGTAAATATTCATATGTATGAGTGCCCTAACACACACACACACACACACATACACACACACACACACACACACACACACACACACACACACACACACATATATATATATATGAAAATGCTGAGTACTAGCTCATATAAACATATGGACCCAACAGCCCAAATTGAATTTGGGTCGATCTGACGGTCAAGACCTCATTTTGTATTTGAATATGATTTTTTTTTTTTTTTAACGAATCCAAATAACTTGAAATTTTAGATGTAACTTTTCTCATCAAGGCGCACCTAATAAAAATATTTAAAAAATAATTTTCAAAAAATAAATTGACCAAATACCCCTAAAACTTTTCAAGGGAATTTTGGTCAATTTATTTCTTACAAATCATTTTTTTTATATTTTTATTATATTCTCCTATTTTTTAAGAACACACGCCTAAACTTTTAAATTATTTAGATTCATAAAAATAAATAAATTAAAATACGAAATGAGGTCGTGACCGTCAGATCGGCCCATATTCAATATGGATCATTGAGCTCATATGTTCATATGAACTAGTGGGCTAATGTCAACATTTTCATATATATATATATATATATAAGTGTTTATGTTGGTTTTATATGGCTTTTAAAGGCCTTATGAGTATGTAATGAAAAAAATTTATTATAGTAGAACATAAACTCAATGGGAGTGTGTTCCCTCGTCGACCGTACTAAGCAAATGATGTTTGCTAATACCGGACTGTACTTGATGATCTAGGCCAGTTGGTTGGAAAACCCAAGGTACTTGGGCATAAAGAATAAACCGAGAAGGGCTTTGGGTTAGCCCTTGATAAGGTCGAAGCTTATGCCTGGATGAGTGAGTCAAGAAACTGTATGACCCTTGTGTGTGATGGTAGGCATATAGAGATGGGGGCCAAATCCTTATCCATGTTCCATCACACGGCATGCATATCGATAGATCGTTTGGGAAAGCCAGTTATCCACCTTTGGGTGAAGCCTATGCATGTGCGAGAGATATACCCTTATGTACCATAGAGCTGCGGTCGCATTAGCTCGTAGTGATCTTGACTTGTCTCTAGGGGAGGATTGTAATCCATAGGTTAAGATTGTGATCCCTTGGCTAATCGGCCAGACTTTGGTGACCCGCTAATGAGTTCTTAGTTGGACTGTGGGTCATAGGAAACACTGGGTCGGTTTGATAAATCAAATGTGGTTTGAAGTTCACAGTTGAAGGTGGAGTACCCCGTAATTGTTGATAGAATTCCTGAACCATATGGATCCACTTCCCATCATATTAATTTAATTGCGTTCATTTTATTATTAAATTATTTTAGATTTATTATTTGAATTTTTATAAGTCATTTGATATTTTATTTATTATTTTTGGACTTATAAAAATGAAGTTATTAATTTACAAAGTTATAATGTATTAAAATTTGTTTTGTTCAATTTTAAAATATTTATAAAAAATACATGGGGGCCCATAGTGCACATGGGCCCACCATGTGGGTATTGGGTGGGGCCCCACGTGCCTCATATGGGTGGCACAGCCCACCCTTGGATGCCTCTTCTTGATTGCTTTGTGTACAAGTTAATTGATTTTGGTAACTTTGTTTTGTAGCATGTGGTCAAATCTCGGAAGGGAAATATTGACCATATCTTATTTTTTTTATTGAAACTATATCTTGACTTGTCATATTTTTATGGAATGCAAGAGTTGGAACATGCTACTTTATGAAATGAGCAATATTTTATTAGATTTAATTTATTTATAAAATATTGATGGGAAAATGGTTTAAGAAAAGGGGGATAATAGTTCATGCACCTTCCATAATGTTGATAGCCCATCTATAAAATGAATGGCTCAGATCTCTCATCCCATAAGTCACCTTGATCAACGGTATATATTCAATCTCAAGAAAGAAGCAAACTATGGGAAACCCTAAAGAAACCCTAGACCTAAATTTCCCTATAAATAGAGGAGCTCTCCCCACATCTAGACATCTTTTTCCCATAAACTCTCTCTCTCTCTTCTCCCTAGGGGTCATACCCCTCTCTCTCCTCTCTGACTTTCTCTCTCTAACTCTCTCTCTACCCTTGGGGGCATGCCCCAACCCTAGAGACTCTCCCTCTCTCTCTCATGACCTAATATAATCTAAGGGGTGGAAAAGTTAGGGTTTGAGCCTAATTATTTTTTAGTTAGGGTTTTGTAGAGATCTAAGGGTGGTTACCTAGTTTGGTCGAAATTAGCTTTTCCAATTCGAGATTGAAGTTAGATCACTAATCCCGTACCATTGGATGTGGTGACTCGGTGTAGGGTGTAATAAGCCCGGTTGAGGTAATATCTGGCATCTTCTCTTTTACTTTCTTGCTCTTTTATTTTATATTCTCAAACATAGTATTAAGTTATAAAAATGACATCAAGTGGTTGAGTTTTATTTTATTATTGTCTTGTTTTATTGTGAAATATTTATTTATTGTAAAAATACCATCTGTAAGTGATCTTTTTCCTAAAATAAAAAAGGGATAATTATTATCATTAAAAAAAAAATTGTATTCCCCCTAAAAAAGATCACATAGATCTTTCTTTCAGTCCAAATATTGAAACACATTGAAATTATTGAATAAGGTACACCACATTTAACATTTCACGATTGTGATAAATCAATATTTACTCAGCAATGTATATATATTTGATACTTGATGTGATGTCCCACTCTAAATCATCCGCAAAGGTTTCTTAGACATTATCTCTACAATTCACCATTAATCCAATATAAATAAATAAATGAAAGGTTTGAGAGGTTTTCTCAAACTTTTTTAAAAAATTTCACGATGGATTTGGATGTAATATTCATAAAACTTCTCATAATAGAATCTTTCAAGTTTTTTAACATAAAGTCGAGAAATCTTGTCAACTTATTTTCTATCACTCCTCACTCCTAGATTGTTTGGCTCACATCATGCATCCATTTACTTATGGATACGGTTTCTATGAGCCCATGTAGAAATGAATTGCCTCGTAAAATTCTATTTTTGAGATGGATTTTTTGGACATAATTTTTAAAGACATGTAATCTCTAACATGGAGATCATGAATATGAATAAATAAATAAATTTTGAAAATTAAAAATAATCATTTTATTAAGAAAACATTTGGATAATTAGTTTCAATTGTTTTTAGATGGACCGCCTATTTTAATCTATCTTTATGATAGATGCTTTATACTTTGGGACCGCATAATGTAGAACGCATTCCAGCCCGTGTGAAACAATTTTCCTTTACTTCTCTCTCTTTCAATCGTCATGGTACACAAGAAAAAAAAACTTGCAAATGAATTACTTGGAGCCGCACAAACTTATCCTAAATTATCTCATCATCTCAATCAAAGTCACCAAAAACCAGATTGAAATTCTCTCAAGTAGTATGCCAATCCCTGAACTCAATATTTGAAGCAATGTTCCACTAATCTGGCTGTTTGAAACAACTCCTTATTACAACAAATAAAGATTGTAAAAAACCTGGCTACTTTAGAGGAAGTAACCCTTAGTATGTGACTGCAAATCCAAAATTGGAACCTGAATGAAACAAATCCTAAGTCTCCAAGGCCAAAGCATCAAGGAGGGGTGATAGATTAGGAAGAAAGTGCAAGATTTGATGCTACATAAGGAAGATCTGAAGCTACAATAGCAAGTGGCAATGGAGATTATAAAAATATAAAAGTTTAAGTTAAATAGATCCACTTTATTACAATGAGTTGCTTTTAATCTTCATTTATAAAATGAATGTAATGGACAACAAATACATACATGTTATAAGTGTTTATGTATTTAAAAGAAATAATGGAAATTCATAATACAATATCAATATTTTTTTGAAAAAATGAAAAACTAGACTTTAAAGAAATTTTAGTGATTTTTTGAATTTTTTTAAGACAAATTCGGCCAATTCACCCTGGATTGCAGATTCACCAATCCAGATTGGTTTTCTGAATGGCTGATCGGGGTCGCCATCCAGGTTTTCAAACAACATTGGTTGGAATGGTTTCATTTAGTAAGAATTACGATAGAGCTCAAAAAGTGCTGCAAATTTGTTCCCAATTTGAAACCGAATCCTTGACCGTCTATTTATTGATGGAAGCTGCATTTAGAACTTTAAGAAATCAAAATCAATTTTTAAGGTTACGAATCCCCCTTAAATCGAGTGCAAGCATTTAAGGATCAAATATACAGTTTGATCCTGGGGGCCCGCCCCTTGTTTTAGTTTTTTTAATATTTAGAGAAGAAAATACATTATTTCACTAGGTCCGAAGTCCGAACCGACCCTGACTCGAGACTGAGTGGAGTTCCAGACGATCATTTTGATATTCTCCCTCCTCATTAACATGGCGTTTTGATCGCCTTCTTACTTTTCCTTCTGTTACTTCGTCCTCTGTTTTGTTTTGTGGTGATCAAATTAGAGGAGAGGGATGAGGAAGAGAGACCTGGGAATTTTGTTATTGGCCGCCTTCGCCATATTCTTCTCTCTTCAGGTTCGCCTCCTTCTCTCTTCTTATTGAGTTTTTTCTTCTTTTTTCTTTTTTTTTTATCCATGGAAATTCTCTATGAATTTTTCTGGGATGGCTCTTGATCTGCTCCATTTTATGGTCTCTGATTTATCAGGACTGATTTGTGATTGTGTCTATGGAATTTTTTATTCAGTCGGTTATCGAGTGAGCTAGGATTGAGGAATCGTGATATCAGCCTTATTCTCTAGGATTCCAAGTTTAGATTGTAGAATTTGCAGGTTAAATCAGTTTTTGAAGTATTTTTACTTTGTGTTTGGAGAATGTATTGCGAATAGCAAATGAACTCTGCAATCTCTGTTACTTTTCTTTGGCAACCTACCTGAAAGGAAGAACTTCTGTCTTGCCTTCTGATTATTTACATACTATAATTTGTTTGATTGAATTGGTTCCGGTTATTAACTTTGTGGCCTGCTGGTTCTATACACCAGTGTGGAATTTAAAGTCGATGAACTGTTCTGTGATTTTCCATGAAATAATGATTTCTAGCCATATTTAGCAAACACGCTTCTTTTTAATGTGCATTTTTACTTCAGATCCAATGAAAAATTATGCATTTTAATGGAGTTGTGTATCAGGTGAACCACTTAAGCCATGAAGGGGGGGCATTTTGAGTAAGCAATATGGCATACAATTCGTGGCAGCACTTACTCTATTCAATTAATTGTGAACGTGAACTCTGTTAGCTGCTTCATAGTGAAGTTCTGGTGATATTTATGATGAAGGATTACTGTTTTGCTCTATGCATTGAATCGCTGGACATGAACTTAGTTGCTTCATCGTTCATATGTTATGGGCATTGTCGATGACAAAAGATCATTGCATCCTGATTTTTCTGTTCATAATTGTTGTTTGTGAACTTTTTTTTAGCTATTTCATTGCATGGTTCACGATGATGCTGACCCCAACTAGTTGGGATAAGACTTGGATGATGATGATGATTGCAGAGTTTGTGATATCTATAACAAAAGATACAATCCTTATGGCAAAAGATTATTTCTTCCCACATTTCAACTTTCCCTTAAAAGTGAAGTGGCATTGGATTAGGACTATTTCTAAAGGTCTGCAATTCTCTAATGGGGTCAGCATGACCGCCTTATGTTGGTGTTAATCCAAATTCCAACCAGTGTTGTATGGGCTCCGATAAGCTTATTGGTGTTTGTTGTCTATTAGTTTGTGGAATATGATATTTCATGATACTTCTAATGCTGTGCTTAATACTTCTACGTAAGTGTCAATTTACTTGCATCAGTACTTCTCTTGAAGTATCTGAACTTTTAGGGACGGGCTGGTTACATGGCCATTTGGAGATTTTCATGGGAAGTCTTCAAAAATATTAGTACTTTGCTTAGCATTCTTTCATTTTGGAGCCTTCTTCGGTTTGGCCGGAAAAGAGAATCCTTTAGTATTTTGTTGTCCCTAAGGGTCTTCAGCTTCTAGGATATGGTTTTCTTATTTATTTATCTATTCATTGTTTTGTGGGTGGGGTTTGAAGGTTTGGGGGGGGGGAGGGGGGGACCTTAGGAGCTTTCTTTAGCCCTTGGTGGTTTTGTTGTGATTGGATAAGAACTTAAAGCCAGTTAAAAGGATGGACGGACATTACTGGCTGGGAAATAAAATCAAATTTGACTAAATGGGGCTCTTCTGCCTCTTTAGTCCAGATAGGCTTACTCTGGCTAAAGAGGACAACAAATCTTGAATAATGGCCTTGATATTTTTTGTTCTTGTCTTTGCTTTTGCTTCTTCGTCCAGTGATATTTAAATGTTCCCTTTTACAAAGTATTTGAAGAGTCCAATTAAGGAAGTGTCACTAACTTTAAAATGGGGTATTGTGGGGCAAACACTTAGAGAGCATGTTTGATTTCTAGAAGACTTGGTTTTGGAAATTGCATCTTCCAGTACTATAGCACTTCTGTGTTTTATAACGCGGAAGTTTTACAGTAAAGTGGATATCACCATATCCAATTGCCTTATATTTAAAGATAAAAAGTGGATACCGCTAGTTCCATGGGGGACCATGGAACTTAGGGTATCCACTTCCCTGGAAGACAAGATTTCTAAAACTGCACCTTCCAAAAATCAAACATGCCCTTAGTGTAAGATGTGACTATCCATTTTAAGTCAGGTTAGTAAGGCAACATGTTGGAGTGTCAACAGTGAACAATGTAAATTGTGATCATTATTGTGGTATTCATACATTTCAACATGTTGCGCAAATGACAAAGCAAAAAATATCGAGCACTGCTTCCAATAAAACGGACCCAGTCATTTCGCAGCGACCTTATAAATATTAAAGGAATTTACTTCTCCTTGGATCTTGAGTGTTCTCTTGTCCCCCCACCCCCCGCCTTTATTTTCCCTCTATTCCTCCATATATCTGCCAAAAGCATCGCTCACTGCCACTCTGTATAGGAACCTATATGGGCTTCCGTGCCCCCATTTTCCTAGGAGTGTTGCTGTCTCAACCCCATGCTCCTGCCCCAAGAACCTGAAATAAAATAAAAGGAAGAGTGAAGAAAAAGTAAGACATTAACATCCCCATCTTCTTCCTGACCAAGCTAGTCCCCTTGCATTGCTTTGGAGGATCCCTATTCTAGAAAAAGGTATTGGAGACACCTGTAGAGCTACACCCTCAACTGCCATTTCAAATATAAGAGGTTTTCTGTATATGTCTTTGCCTTTCTTTGCGATTCTTATTGACTCTTATTGATTCAAGTGACCTTCTCGTACCCCACCACATTGGCTTACATTTCCCTTGCCTACATCACCTAATTTGCATTTGTCCCAGCTTGATTTCAGCAATAATGTTTGCATGCATTTATACTTAGCCATAGTTTTATTTTACAAATGTCATGCATTTTTAATTTTTTTTATTTATAATGTGTCGTTTGTTTATGTTTACATAATGTACATGCATACACACATACTACCATGTATGCATGTGTTTACACCAATATTACAAATGGATTGGACTGGTCGATCTAGTTGGTTGGACTGGGATAGGCAATTGGTCAAACCAGTCCAAACTGCTACTTCAACTTGTTGGACTAGTTGAACCGGCTGATTCAATCTTACTTTGACCGGTTCAAATTGGTTTTGACTAGTTTGTTTAATGTTTATGGTGTGTTATTTACATTTTCTAGATCGGTCTGACCGGTGAATGGGCTGGTCTGACCGGTGAACGGGCTGATCCAACCAGTTTGAACATTGATTTACACAATGGAAAGGAGGGAGGACCATGAAGTACATTTTGTAATCTTCTTAAATGTTGAATTTCTTTTTCCGCCTTGTTGGTTTTGTATAGAATTTCTCTTATATAAGCTAGTGATGATTTTCTTTATTGCATAATAAAGGAGCTCTGCTTCAGCTAGAGAAAAGTATATTATGTGGAATGTTTTTGTTCATCCTTTAGTAGTGATACCTTTCTTATGTTTCCAGCATGAGGGTGATTTTTCATTTAGAGAAGCATGGTACCATTTATCCGATGATTATCCTATTAAATATGAAGCTGAGCGCCTGCCACCACCCATTGTGGCTGACCTTAATGGTGATGGAAGAGCTGAAGTTCTTGTTGCAACCCATGATGCTAAAATTCAGGTAATTGAAGATTATGCATGTGGCTTATCTTATTTGGGGAGGTCTATGGTTTCATTTATCCTTCATCCTATGCTTTTTTCTTGAATGTTTTAGTCTGGAGAAGAGTTACATGGCAAAGTTCGCCAAAAATAGTGACATAATCTTGTAGATTAACTATATTACTTTATGAAAGAAATAAACCAATAAGTTTTAGTACTTATTGCTGAAAGTGTTAGAGACTTGGAAAAATGTGAAGTTGCATCCTCAATGAATCAGAAACATTGTCAGATAAGCACTGTGCACTCATATGTTTGTAGGTTTAATTTAAAATATTCAGTCAAAAAGCAGAAGTTGTGAGTAGTATTATCTAGTCAGTCCTAATTCCGGATGTATCATTCTTTTTATGTTCTTCTCCTTTTTGAGGGAGATCAAAGCATCTCAAAGTGCAAACATTAGTTTCATAGAGTTACATGCATTTAAACTATCTGAGGCACTTAGGCATTTGACTTAATCCTAACAATAACTGATGACAAGTGACTGACCACAATCTATTCTTTTGTTCAACATGCAAGGTTTATCCAAACTTGGTCTGTTTATATTATAGTGGTTAGTTATTGGTGGCATTTACTTGGTTAATGGCTTAAGATTAACTGGCCTGTGGATTTCCATTAGTTCCCTTGTCATTATTAGGTTGATTTCCACATCCACAATCTTGATCAAGAGAAGTATTATTTGCTATGAAGCATTATACCAACAAATGCTGAAATTTAGTCTAAATAATATCCATCGTAAATTGTAATGCTTTTCTTTCTTTTCCATTTTTCTCCTGAACTCATAAACACTGGGCTGCCTATATTCTTTCAAATTGATGTACACGGTGCCCTCTATATTGATGCACCAAACTGGCAGCTAGGGAAAAGTGATGTTTCAGTCTAATCAAAGCCTGCCAAAGTACCATGTATGGGATGGTGGTGCTTTTTTATTGCCTCCTACTGATTATCTGCTTCATGTTCGAATTGAAGTCATTTAATTTCATGCTTATCTGTCTCACAGAAAAGCCCCTTGGGTCTGGGTTTATGTAGTTTCTATGCTGTTCTGTTCCACCATGTCTTCTCCTCCTTGGTGCACCCATGTTTGGCTTGAGCCATTTTAAGAATCAAAGTGAAACATCACCATGTCTTCTCCTCCTCTGGGCTTTAATATTTTACTGTCATCTTATTATGGTGAGGTCTTTGAAAGTATGTTTGCCCTTGGGAGCTTGGCTCGTGGATTTGTGATGAGGGCATCATGGCCTTCTATGGGATTAGCGAGTGGCTGATCGTAGGTTACATCAATTTGTATTTGTCCATCACTTAACCTGGCATGTGGTGACTTATTCCACATTACTCAACTATTTTCGATTTTATTATTGGAAACTCATACGCACCGGAAGGTCATTCTGCCTTGTATTAGATTTATAGTCGTCAAATTGTTTAAATTTTCCCTTGGCAGGTTGCTTTAGCATGGGATCATACTCGCTTCCTAGTTCATCTTCCTTGTAATTGTTACTTCTAAATACTTCTTGGGGCGCACTTATTTCTTGGCTTAGTTAGTACCAAGATATTATGTCCAAGTTGAACACAGATTCTGGGGCTTTTCCAATATTAGTTGTTAGATACTGTGGTTATGAGCATTATTGTTTGCTTTCGGGATACAATTCTCGTTACCTGCCTTTCTTATTGTGTATAGATGTAATATTAATGTTGTCTTTATTCCTCCTAATCTTGTGTCCGTGAACAGACGGAAAAGACAGATGAAGTCCACTGAAGTTAACTTTCATCCTATTTGAGATGGGTGACTTGACAACATTAGAAGTCTCCTTTCCACTACTTTTGTGTTTTTCTTTTTTGGGAAATTTATCAAAATGCCCACAAGAGATGAACAATTTAACATTTTAGCCATATTATTTGATTTAATTTCAAAATACCCATAAAAACACAAATGGTCTTGAGTTGAAATAATTGTAAATGGGTGAAATGTTGAATAGTTCATCTCTTATAGTTATTTTGATAAATTTCCCTCTTTTTTTTTTCTTTTTATTTATTTATTAGTATCCTTACATAACTTGGTAATTGCCCAAAAGTGTGGTAAGTAAAGATATGTCATCATGACTCCGAAATATGTCTAAGGAACCAGAGAACTAACATACGTAGGGGTCAGATTTGACCTTAAAATTTCATATAGTGGAAATAAAGATTTTTTTAATATAAATTGGGTTTCGTGAAGAGTTTTAGGAAACCTCAATTCCTGTTACATTTTACATCAAACCTCTATATGGATCTGAACACCCTTGATTTGGGTCTTGAAGCATATGTAAATCTTTAGGGAAAAAAATATGAAGACAATGTGAAATCAGTTGTCAGGACTCTGTCGTTTGTCAAGCCAGTGAGCAGCTCCGCCAGACTATTGAGATGGTTTGATAGTCTTTATGATCAGTCGGTTGTCAAGATGTATATGGTGATTAGGGCTGTCAAGGCTTATCAGGGCCTTGTATGGCAAGTCTTGTTGTCACATCTGGAGTATATCTTGCAAATATGCCCTGAACTCATGTTGATTGGCCTCGTATCATGACCTACCGTCTGTCAAGCGTGTATAGACTTGATAGCCGCTTGGCTCTTATTTTCAAAAATTATCCTTTGTCTTGCTTGTGGATCTTCCAAGTGTGTTTTCCCTTGGATTATGGCTCCAAAAACACACCCTACTCTTGATTACTGTAGGACCCAACCTTGTGTACTCACTGATCATTAATATACATCTAAGTTGGTAATAATATGTTGACTCCTAGCCGTCAGATCTTGATCGGGTCGTTGAAAATACAAATAAATTTTAGTATTCTATACAAATTGGGTCAATATGAAATTTTGGAGATATATACCTAACACCATCACGCACCTTATAAAAACATAAAAAATGTATTAAAAAATTTAAAATGATGAAATTACCCGTTCTCAGGGGTATTTTGCTCATTTTAAAATTTAGAAAATATTTCTTTTATATTTATTCTTGTGCGCTTTACGTTTTACGCTTTACGTTTTAGTACACACCCCAAAAATTTCATCTCGATCAAATTTGTAGAGAACAAATTAAAATTTAAATGGCAACATACATTTTTAACCATCTATCAAGATTTAACGGTTGGGAGTGAACCTATATTACCATTCATTACAGGTGCAAGCTATTGGTAGCTTTTTCTATATATACACACTCACACATCATCTGTATATTTATTTCTTGATGTGTTTATTTACTACTTCAGTTGCTTTGACTCAAAAGGATATTTTTGTTGTTTTGACCTTGTGTATGTACTTGTAGTATAGCTGATAAATGAAAGGCTTCTGATTTTACGCATTTGAAATCCAAGGCATCAGTAAGTGTTGTACTTATGGTAACTCTGCATCCTATAGTTGTTATTGCCCTTTGTATTTAAATACTCTATAACTAACATTCTATCTTTTATATTCTTTTGATAATGTCTATCTTTGGGATTACCCCTTTTTGATAGTAACATTCGTTATGTCTAGGATCTAAGACCCCATGCCAGACAATATATAATATACCTTAAAGTTTGACTGATAATTCAACTTGAAAGATCGTTAAGATATATATACCATTTGTTTGATGTGTTTATTATTAGTAGTGTATATATTTAAGGGTAGTTTGGCCATTTTAACTTGTTACTTTGGTTGTTTTGATCTTGTGCATATACTTGTAGTGAAGCTCATTAGTGAAAGGCTTCTGATTTTACGCATTTGAAATTCAAGGCATGAGTAAATGTTGTAGATATGGTAACTCTGCATTCTGTAGTTGTTGTTGGCCATGGTGTTTGAATACTTTAACTGAATATTTTATTTTTTTATATTCTTTATGATAATTTCTATGTTTGGGATTTGTCCTTTTTGAGAGTAACATTTGTTATGTTCATTGTTAGGTTCTAGAGCCCCATGCCAGACGAGTAGATGAGGGATTTAGTGAGGCTCGTTTGCTGGCAGAGGTCTCCCTTTTACCTGATAAAGTCCGCATTTCATCTGGTAGACGACCTGTCGCTATGGCTACAGGTTTTGTTGATCGTTCATATAAGCATGGAGAAATTAGGAAGCAGGTTTTGGTTGTTGTCACATCTGGTTGGTCAGTGATGTGTTTCGATCACAACCTAAAGAAGCTTTGGGAAGCTAACCTGCAGGTATCTATTTCATGTATCTCCAATTGCACGAGTGGTATTGTTACATCAAAATTATGAATCTTTTGTCTAGAGAAATCATAAGCTATTTTGGGTTTTTGCTTTTGCACACAGCTAAAGGTTTCTAACTGTTGGCAGGACGACATTCCACATGGTGCTCACATTAGGGAGATAGCTATTTCTATAAGTAACTACACACTTAAGCATGGAGATGCTGGATTAGTGATTGTTGGGGGGAGGATGGACATGCAACCACATGTATGTTTTACATTCATTGAAATTTATTTACATGTTGCTTTTGCTATCACATCCTGCAATTGAACAACTTTTGTGATGTATACTTGATGTAGGAGTTGCTTATATTCTGATAATTTAAACGTTTACGTGCACCCATTGGTTCCACATCCAATTCAAGTAATGGGCTTTGACTGTAAACTTGCCTCAGAGATTAGACTTGTGTAGCACTCTTATTCTGTTGGTTGTAAGTGACTTTGTTGATTTGGAAATGCATGATTCACTGCAGCCAGTATGTAGTGTTATAAGTACTGGACATTTTTATCAGTCTCAAAGTTATCTTTGAAGTCAAGGTGGAAGGAGAGGCTTCTTAATGTTTCATTTTGTTTTTAATTTTGGATTGGGTTTCATAAAAAGTACATATGTTGACCTGCTTATTTGTTTTGACGTATATTGATATCAACATGCTGTGCCTGACTTGTCCAAGAAGCAAATTTATATAAATCTTGTGGCATGTCCTAGTAGGGAGGAGCAATGACATGATATTTGTACTTGGTTCGATGTTAAACATGACAAAAGGAAACTTCTGACATTCATCAATCACGAGCCTTTACACGATCAATCCAGTTTCGTGATCATATTGACTTAACATCTATGGATGTATTTCTTTTGGGTGCTCATATTAAATTATTCAAAGCTCATGTGACTGTTAATTCATTGATTGGTCAAGTCACAAGATGCGGATTACTCCCGAATTTTTCACACCCTTGTTCAGTATGATTTTAATTTGCCTCATCTTGGTTATGGAGGATTATGCTGGTAGTGAAAAGAATCAAATAAGCATTTTGAGTTCTTTGACAGTGAAGAGTTACATAATAGTGAGCATTTGGTCGATTCAAATTAGTGTAGAATTCCTTTTTTTGGTGTGCAGTTAGATTCATACAGGTAATCCAGGAATTGAGACCAAAAGATTGTTGCCATTTCATAAGAGGTAAATGACTTAAGATTGGCTCGATATATTGATACAGATTGGTTAGGATATTCATTTCATGGACTACAAAGAAGCAACCCATGGTAGCCATCTTTAGGCATGGGTATGCATTAGTTTATGCTCCTAGCAAATCTGAGGCTATGGGCTGTACTTTTTTTCTGAGATGTGATAGCTACAAATTGTATGTTTATCCTCAAACCGTGCATCGAGGTTCAGTGCCATTTTGTGAGAGAAGATGTGCTTCATGCTGAAATAATGATGTTGATTTGGTTCGTGACCCTGCCGGGCAGATGTCTGCCACCAAGGAGCTACTTGTTGGTAAGTTTAATGAGTTCAGAGAAGCAACTCTTTTGTGTTGCATGTCGATTTGACTGCACATGCTTGGATTTGTAAATATTCATGTTTTTCATGGCTGTACAAACTAAATCTTTGGTGGCCTTAGGTCATCACATCTGGCATCATTTCGGGCTGATAGGCATCTGGGCTCAATTTTGTGCATTGACCCCCTCAGATGAGTCATGTGGGAGTTATTCTATTTAGAATGCTCTCTGTGGTCATTACTTGTGTATAATATGGTTCTTTATGTGTGTGTGAGTAGTCGCATAGAGGGTTCTATCAGGAGATCTTTTATGTGGATAGTTTTTGGCATAAAGCACTTATTAGTGGCTATCTATTGCCTTTCCCATGTTCTCCAATGATATTTTGGGTATTCTGAAGATTCTTTATTATCTGATGTAGTATTTTGAAGCATTCCTAGAGCTTTTATATCTGATGTAGTATTATGAGTTACCTCAAAATGACCAAATATCTGGTATTTATATCTTGAACACTCCTAGATATCTTCTAGAATGTCAGAAGTTACATGTAAAATAATCAAAATATCCCATAATGGGATCGACTATCGTGGGTCCAATTTTTTACCTTAGAGCAGACCTAGTTGGTGATTTGTTCATTGGAGGTGTACTGGGGGCATTCTGGTCTTGGTTTAGATTTGTTTTGGAACTTCTCCTGTAAATAATTGAGGCACGAGACCTGCCATGAAAAGGGACAGCAAGACATTAATGTTCAAGTAACTAATAAAAAATGAATAATATACAGACTCTTTGTGATAAAATACTACACAATAAATTAGGCTGAAAATGTCTTTAGATTCCTTGGGGTGACCAATAGAGGAAAGCCTCTGCACTGGAAATGGACCCTGGGGATGTCTATTTTTCCCTTTATTCTATGTACGGGACTTTGCAATAGTTTCTTTAAGGCTTATGCTACATGTTCTTCCCAAGCAGAGAGGTTTAGTATGGAACCACATCGTTATATACTGCAACCAAGTTTTGCACTTTGCGAGTCCAAATTTGGAAGAGGTTGTTAATCTTTAAGTTCTAATCTGTATCGGTCAATTTTATTCATTACTTATTGATAACAGCATCTTTCTGCTGGTTATTTTTCGTTCTTACATTTCAGTTGTTATATGATGATCTTGATCTGAAGGTAATATCGGTCATAGCATGCTAATTTTCTTCGACTACTATTTCGTGGCATGATGCATCAAAGCTTGTCCTGACATTCTTGTCATGATATTGGAGAAAATTGTGTAGTTTTGGACATGCAGTACGTATGGTGTAATGCATGATTTTTGTGCAGCTTTATTTGGATCCATTTGAAGAAGTAATGGAGGCAGAAAAAAATTCTGAGCAACATCGAAGAAGTGCTGAGGAGAAAGAGGTAAAATTTTTAAGTATTTGTATTACTGAAATTTGTCTGTGGATTCCTTGCCAATGTTTCTTCTTGTCAGAATACTCTTGTAAGTCTTTTATTTATGGGATATTGATCAGAATACACTGAAGATATGAACTATTTCTCATTGTCCATTATTTAAATTTAATTTCAAGCGGCCTAGATTTGATTTGAGAATTTCCATCAAAGGACTATAATCATTATTTTTTTTTCTTTTTTTTTAGAGTGACCATAATCATGAGTTAAGAGGGGCACTTTCCAATTTTGCCCCTCCTTCCAAAGTTACTTCCAAAGAAAACCACTTGTTGCATGGACATGTGGCGTTTAAGATTAGTGTACTCCAGTGGGAGCAAAATGTACATTTCCTCCCTTCGGCAAAACCCTAGCTAAAATATTTTTAGTATCCCAAATTTGGGTGATGTGACCAACTCAGTGTAACGAGCAACCTAGAAAATAAAAAAAGTTCAGCATGCACTTTGGAACATCATGACAAAAATCATGCCCTAGGATTACATACTATCTAAATTTAGGTGTCTTGGTATTAAAAAAATATGTTCTTAAGGGAAACTTTTTTAAAAAGCCCCAAAGATGGGGAGAAATTGGGGAGAAACTTGCTCATAATCACCCTCATCCTAGGGCATTATTTGTTTTTTCATGGGGGTACAAAGTGTGCCCCAAAGGATTTTTCTTTTCTAGGTGATCAATAGGTTGAGTAGGTCATGTCTCCAAAATTTGGAATCCTACAAATACAACCAGCTATTGCTGCAAGGAAATATACATTGCTCTTGCGGGGCTATATTAATTTTTTTTCTTCAGATTATAAAAACATAAAGCCCCACATATTAATTCTTTCATAGCATAAAAACATAATCAATTGGATCTGTGCTAAAAGGTGCGTGCTTTGGAATTAACTTGAAAGAGGGGCAAAATTGGAAAGTGTGCCTCCTAGCAATTCCAAATCATGACTAGTGTCCTTTGATATAATTCCTGAAATTAAATAGGGGCGTATTGAAGTTCAATTTGAAAAAGGGTAAAACAGATATAACTCATATCTTGGGTGGATTTTGATGAATTTCCTTTTATTTATTCATTTGCATAATGGTGCAAGCTTTTATCATAGTTACCTCTTTATTCACTCAGAAAACCAAAAGATCAAATTTGCATAAATGAAACAAGACATGCATGCTCTGCATATGCCAGCTTGCGCATGCATGCACAATTCTTCTGTAGTGACCTTTGCTGTTCTAGATGCAGATAAAGAATGTGGTCATAGTGTGAGGGATCAACTTTATTTTAGTATACAACCTTGGGCTGAAGTCCCTTATGACATCTGTACCGTCCTTAATAGATGTGGTTCCCTTTCCATGCATGTAAAAATACATGCACACATATATCAAAATACATCAAATTTAACTGAACATGAACAATTTTATTGAGAGATTTACATTTTTTAATGCTTCTAGCATTTATGTATTAAATGCTGTATACCAATCTGAAATTTATAGTGTATACATCTACATCCATTGATCTCACATGACATGCAAATGTATATATTGTACAGCATAATTTTTCTTATATTCATGTAGACTAGTTGTGGATTTTATGGGTGTAGAATGGTCCATGATTTAAACATTAGTGCACACAAACTAAAGAAGCATGAAACTTCAAGGTTTGCACTTATATAGCATAATTTTAGAAGTTATATCACATTCAATAATGTTTTATGGATTAGCTTTTCACATTATACTCATAATTTGTTGTATTTTACCTTTTTTTTTGAGAAAGGGTTATTGTAATTTACATGTTAAAAGTTAACTTTTCTTACATGTAAATTGGTTTGTAAAAGTGTGCACTTGCTCGCATGGGCAAAAGAACTATGCAGGGGGATTTTTTTAATCTGAAAATTTTGAAAACAACTTTGAATCACCTGATGAACAATTCAAAAAATTTAAAATAAAAAAGACTTTGAGTTAGGATTACCTAGATTTGGTCATCCATCAAATGGGCACTTCATGTTCATTCTTGGAGGCAGATTTTATTTGGACCATTTTTGGGGAGCAATTTCTTTTGTTTTTTTTGTTTTTTTTTGTTAAAAGGTTTGATCTGGGATGAAGAGCTGATCAGCAAATTTTAGGGTCCAACAATCCTAAGTAGGTTTATGCTTACACTTTACTGTCATTGGAGCATGTAATCTTTTTCCAATAGTGGTCTACATGCATCCTACCTTGTTGAATCATCCCATGCAAACGGCATCTTTGATATGCTTGTCTGCTCCGAAGTGTTTGAGAAACCAGTGTTTGAGAAACCAATTGATGAATGTAATTTTTGTGCCAAATCAAATAAGTTTAGAACTTGTTTGATTCTTGCTTTCTCCTTTATTGAGTGCACAGGTGGAGTTGTAGAACGAGCTTAATGGGGTAGAAAGGGTTCATTTGGTCCCCTTAAATTCTTTTAATGGCCTCAGATGAATAAAAGAGGATTTGGTATATTTGTTTTATTACTAGGAATAGTGTCCACCAAATTAATTGTTTGAGGGGATTTCCCTGTTTAGCCAATGTAGACAGTGACTCAACTGGGAAATCTGTCATGCAATGTTGACTCAAGTGTTCCCTAGTCAACTGGGTCACGTTCAGGACTTCCCTTGATCAAGATGATTTTAGGTTCCTTGTCTGGTAGTCTCATTCTTTCTTGAAATTGTTTTGTCTTTGTTTCTTTCTTGAACAGTTGGTGATCTTGTGAAGACCACTATCAGTCTTCTACTATAGTATTTGTGATACTTAGTCAATTACTTCAAAAATTTTGTCAGGAGCTTGCATGCAAAGGTCGAACCTGTAGGTCCTTGTGGTTCAGGTTCTAAGGTCATTTATGTAATTATGTTATAATTTCTCATTGCTATGCCTCATGTGACTGTAAATTTTTGCAGGTCTCTGAGAAATCTGGGACTGCGGACTTACGTCATTTTTCATTTTATGCATTTGCGGGTCGTTCGGGGAAACGACATTGGAGTAAAAAAAGTGAGGTACTTGATTGATGATTTGACTTGCTAATTTGCTCTAGAAATACTATAAGCTAGACATGGAGACCATGCATTCAGATGTTCTTATCAAAGAAGCATTGCCAACTGGTATTTATCGACTTCGTGAGAATGTTGATTGTTGCTGTTGTAAAGGATACATGAAAATTTGTTTACTGTCAGATGTTCTTATCAAAGAGACATTGCCAACTGGTATTTATCCACTTTGTGAGAATGTTGATTGTTACTGTTGTAAAGAGATAGATGAAAATTTGATTACTGAATAGATTTAAACATCAGTTTCTGTATCTTTAGTGAAGGAAATGTAATTAAATTTCCCTGCTATCTAGAAATATGTGCCATTGGCATCCTCCAAATGGTGCTATTCAAGTTTGGAGGTTCTCTTCCAATTGTGTTTTCTTGTTCTACTAAGTTTTGTGTTATATTTTTACTTGATTACCTGCTAGCTTCTCCTTGATTTCTTCTCCTCACTACAGGCAGCTTTCTTTATGTGACTTTCCTCGCAAACTTTCATGAATTCCTTGCTTTCTTCTCCGTGATTTTACTGTAAAAAAGAATTAGAAATATAAATTGGCTGAGATTCTGCTTGGGAGTGCTCAATATAAAGGGATTTCTGTTGCTTAGGCTCCTCACCATGGATTGTCATATTAAATGTCTATGAAGTACTGTATCAATCTACTTTCTTGTCTTACTTGCAACCTACTTGTCTTGTAAACATCTTTTACGTTTGCATGTTTGTTGAACTATGTTAGTAATGAGGCTTAGTGGGGCATACCCGTAGCTCATTGAGTATTTGGTTGTGGGCCAATGCTAGAGTCAGCAGTAATGCAGTCTTCATCAAAGAATGCACACTGGCAATCATATCTGCCATATATCGGCACATCAAAGTATCATAATTTTATATACACCATAAAGGGTGTGCATGTCAAATGAATATACATTCCATCAGATAGCACATCCAGAGTATAATTGTATACACCAAAAGGTGTGTGCCTGTCACATAAATATATGCATTGGTCCGCGTGCATTTTCCAATCTTCAGGTGCTATAGAAATAGGCAAACAAGGGCTTCAAGGGGTTCGCCTTCTGGTTCCAAACCTAGGTTGACATTGCAATGGGGTCCAAATGATTAAAAATTTCAGAATGAAGTTCAGGAAAAGTGTAATATCTTGGGCCAAATACCTACCAAAAATCAAACTGATCTGAGGTAGAAACAGAGGGGTTCAGCTAAAAAGGAGGAGTTTCTGTTCTCCTTTCTTGAATGCGTTGAATTTCAGTTCTTCTCCTTCATGAATCTGTGATAACATCAGAAGCGACAGAGACTGTATTCCAGCTGAATTGGCTGTCTAGGTTTTCTGAACATGAGGAAGGCATTGAAAACGTTCTAATATAAATTGATAGGGAACTGAGTTCCATGATGTTGATGAGGATTATATCTATTTTATTTGTATGTACAAGAGAATAGAGTGACTAAATGAAAGCTTCTGACAAGTGTGTTCAATATGATTCAGAATAAATTTGTGCTGGTGAGTCCATTTCTAGGGGTGCCTCCAGAATACACACTTCCATTCTAATTACATTACTTTTCTTTTGGATAAACTTACTTTTTGCCAAGGAATTTATATAAAACATTTCAAGATGAATTGTAAGAATCACATATTCCATTATTTAACTGCCCAATAACATCATAATCTTTTGTATTTCTAGGTTGCCAAATCCCGTGCATGCCTAGCATGTAAACCTCCCTCTAGCCGAACTCGGGCCCTCTGAGGATGATCATCCAAAGGCGCTCTTGTCATGAAAGCAAATGTAGGAGGGTTGACCAAGACTGCAACACTTTGTCTAATACTTTCAGAACAACTCAAAAAATCTCAGGGTAGTGTTCCTCATAATTGATAAACTGCTCTGAACCAGTAGGCTCACATCACAGGTTTCATTTAATCCTGAATCTGATTTCCTGCAATATGTAACCAACCAAAAAAATGTCATTTGACACGGTTAGATAACTCCAGGTTCCTGAGATTTGAATCTTGAATCCAACAAGTTGGAGGATGTGAAGATGCTATTCAAGATCTGCCTAGTGTCGATAAAACCCCTGAACTGGGGAGAATAATTAAATGCATGATTTACTTAATCCTTGTTACTAGAGCCATATCCTCATGGAGCACCAGATTGGACTGATGGGCCTTAGATCCTTGATGTCTATTTGTCTAGAACTCCAGCAGTAAATGTAATGGTGGTGCTAATTAATTTTGACATCAACCTTGCATGATTATGAAATTACAAAAAAGCTACATAAGGTTGCCTATGTGTGTGTGTGTGTGGTGCACACACATATTAGGCAAGCAATCTGTTTTTGAGATGCTTACTGTGATTAAGCAGTGTCTTGTGCAATTGTAGGATGTGCAGCCTCATTCAACAGATGCAACCCATTTCATTCCACAACACAACTACAAGCTCGATGCCCATTCTCTTAATAGCCGTCGTCCTGGTGAGGTAGGCATTCAACATTTGTTTGGAAAGCTGTACATATTTACCTTATCTATTTACAGTGCCACATGTCATTAAGCAGAAATATGCAAAATCCCAAATTCCAGTAGATATTTTCTTCTCCCAATTTGATGTTAAAATATTTCCTATAAAGGATGTCTCAAATTCTTTTTCTTGTCATTGCTGTATTTCGACTTATATTGCATCTCCTATATTGTTTTTAGAATTGTTGCACAATACCAGATTGAACTCTTATGATACAAACAACTGGGTATCTTTTGAGCCTTAATCAGTTCTGATGCTTTCGTCCTTAAACTGGGCCCTGAATTCTTCTGTTGCTCACTCTATGGATATAAATGATCGGTGTGTCTGTGTAGATCTTTTCTTTAGATTGAAGATAGATTTCCTAATGATTATGTGACTACTTTTTTCTTGATGGAAGTGGATAATTGTGATAACTCCAGATTTCTGACCCTCAAATGAGCTCTGTTTATTCAGCTGATATCATTCTGCATTGATAGAACATGACAATGTGATTTCGTAGTTCTGGTAGTCATCATATGCTATGTCTAGTAGTATGAGGCACCTAAATCATATGTCATGGTGTAATTATGCGTCTTTATCTATTGCAAGGACGGAAGTTTTCCAGATTCTTTCCTCAAGGGAAGTTTTAACGGTTGAGTTGAAGCATGACTCATATTTGCTGTTAACTGATAGTTTTCCAAAGCTAATGTAGCTTTGTGGACAAGAGCTACTTCGATGTTTCTCTTTGGCTATGAAGTCTTTTAGGGTGAAATTTGTGTACATATTTTTTGTCCGGGCTATGATTTGAAATTTGTTTAAAATCATTTTTTTTTAAACGAAAAGAGTCTTGTCTATATTCTTATGTTGTCTGAAGCGGAGCAGACCAGCTAGTCCAAACCAAGAACTGGTTACCAGTGGCCATTCCGGTCTGGTTGACACCCTGGACCAGAATGGCCATTGACGGGTCTCGAATAGGTGGAACGACTGATCTGCTATGACAGACAACAATACTTACATTCTCATTCTCAAGATTCATTGCTATTCCTTTCACACTATTGGCAAATTGAACCATTTCCCCAACTTGAATCTCATTCAACTAATAAACAAATGCAATCCTATCTCCAACTGAGACCAAGTTCATTCTTCTTTCTGATATAGTGAGTTTGGGAGAGAATTCCATACTTTCCTGTCCATCAGTTCAAGGCTGATTTAGCCAGTTTAAATGGGGGTAAAAACTGACAAAAATGACCTCCATTTTTTTTTGGGGTCATTTAGTTGGTTTTTTTGGTCCTGTTGAAAAAGAACAGGGGCATTTTGGTGCTTTTTCCAAATTGGAGGGTTTTAGGGCCTTAAAGTGAATTTTAGAAAGAGAGAGCCACTTTAGTGATTTTTTCTCTCTCTCTCTCTACTTGAAACCCCAATATCTTTCACAAAATTTTGGCAACTTCCAGGGAGGATTTCAGCCATCAATCCGTCCAAACTTCAAGGTCCAAGAGAGTTCATTGTGCTATTTTCTTGATTTGTTGTTTTATTTGTTTTATATTTTGAAAAATAGAGAAAAGTCAGATTTTTAAGGTTTTTTTAAGAATTGTTTTTGTCCAACTGAACTGGTCCCCTCACCGGTTTGGCCACCAGACAAATCTTAACAACATTGGTATATTCCCATAAATTTTCTAGTACCCAAGCATCGGATTGCAAATTTTAGTGGTTGTTCATTTTTAGATTTACATGATTTGATAAAGAGAATACGAAACTTAAGCATTGTGGACATAGGTTTACAGTGGAAACTTGGCAATATTAAGTTTTCGTTTTCTACTTGTTTTATGCAATTTTGACCATTCTATAAGGATGGTTTGCATTAGTAACTTATTGCATAGCTGATAGTTGGTAGCTCAATTACTATTCTGTAATTTTTTGTAATGTATGGTACTCGGCAAAGTAGTTTTACTGAGTCATAGACTTCGATATATCCTTTTTCTAAGTGTTTGTTCGAGAGTCATGTTGAAAATCTTTCCAGTGTCATTCAAACCATGAAATATTTAAATTTAATGGAGCAGATATCACTTGAATATAGAAACCCATCTTTGCATTCATCAATTGGTTTAATGTTTTCTTTATTATGTGAATATTTTCTGTTTTATAATTTAATTCATTCAGTTGCGCTGCTATGTTTTCTTCTATTTTGTTTCTCTTCTCTCACTAGAAAGATTATTAATTATGTATCCCAAATTTCATTTATGATATAATATCCTTCTGCTAAGGATTTATTTATTACAGATGGAATGCAGGGAGTTTAGAGAATCTATACTTGGAGTGATGCCTCACCGCTGGGTAATTATATCTTCTTCTCTTTTCTTCTCATCTTGATAGTTTCCAGTGTTAATCATTTGTTTTGTAATTAACCATATCATCCTATAATTACTTCTTCTAGGAAAGGAGGGAGGATACCTCTTTTAAGTTGGCACACTTCAGAAAGCACAAAAGAAAATTAGTGAAAAAAATGCCGGGGAAAGGTACAAGTAATCCTTTTCAAATGCCTGAGGAAAACCATGCTCCAGGGAAGGACTCAAGCAATAAGATTTCACGAGCGATTGGGAAAGCTGCGGATTATGCTACTTCAAAGAAAGGCAAGAAGGTGGAATTCAATTTTCTAACATTGAAACAAATTGAATTTTTCTGCTTTATTTTTTTTTTTCATACGTTTATCCTTACTTAGTGTGGGTTAACATGACTGGGTGCAAGCTCATTGTCCAGCGGCCTGGTCTACATTTTCTTTCCTTGTAAAGAGATCTGTGGAGTATCCAGAAATTCTGAATCTCTAGTAAAAGTAGGAAACAATTGAATGAAATTAGAAAGAATTAGTTCTATTTGTACTTGATGCTATATGAATCCTTTCTATTCCTATATTTCTCTACTGAAGATGCTTTAGTAATATTATCATTGTTTAGGTGTGAGGGGAGTGACAATATGGACAAAGAAAAAGATTAATTACCATAATCACCGCTCATAAATTTTCCATGGAGTTTTAGTCCAGTGCTGCGAGATTTGGTTTGCATGAGGACTTCAAAAGTCAAAGGACTCGAACTTTAAAGTTCTCTCATCATGCCAGTTGATGAGACCAATTCTTTCAAGAAGAAAGAAACTGTTAATGATTATTCAACCATCTAAAGGGAAGTATATGCCTAGACAATTACTAGCAATTTCTCGGGATTTGTGATTGATGACCCATTATTCAGGGGAAAGTGAACTCCCCTCACCTTCAAACCTCTTCTCTAGTCCTATAAATCTCTTCTTCTTATTCTTTATGGAGTAGCCCACTCTGGTACCATTTTAAACCATTAAACCCTCAATTGAAAGAAGAAAATAGAGGAAAAGAAGGCAGAAGTAAGGTTATGTGTTTAAAGAATCTTGATCTTCATTCAAATTATAATAGTCTGCAGTACACAATGTGACAATTTTTCTTTGTGGTTATATACAAAGTACATAATGAGCCCCAGGAAATCCTTCATAAGAAAATAGCGTAAAACAGTACAAAGTACAGTAAGCTCCCAATTTACATATCCAACATATACAAATGCACATCTCTGACAGAAGTTATGAATCTGAAGTGATTCTTTACTTCTTAGCCCAGAACACAAATAAACAACTGTCACTTTAACATCATATGCATTTTCACTTAGAGTTTAATGAGGTGCCACAGAACTTTTAGTTTTCATGCATAAAATTTGTGCTTGAAAGAGTGGTTTTCTCAAAAGGATTCCATAATATGCATTGGTTGCTAATATGGTGATCAACCTGTATTGAGTTCCTTATATTTCCAAAATGTGGATGTTGTTCTGCCTCAAGCAATGGAGTGCTATCAAAATATGCTAGTTAGTTTCAGTTCAGTGCACAATCTCATGTGAAGAATGTAATATGTTTAAATTTTTGGCTGCAGAATTTGCCATATGTGCCCACAATAACAAACCATACTCAGCTCTGGTGGGTCCCAAATGTGATTGTAGCCCATCAAAAGGAAGGGATTGAGGCTGTTCATATTGCATCAGGGCGCACTGTTTGTAAGGTACCATTATCATGATTACATGGGTTCTCCTTCTGTTCTGTTCATATATAATAAGCTCAGTTTGTTCTTGGGTTCTTATAAGAGTTCATTTTTATGATCTATGAGCTTTGCCTACATTGTTTATCAATGCATTTAAACTATGCAGTCATAAACCATACTGAACTGATGGATAAACTTTTCTTTTGAATGAAGACAGTTTATTCACTTCTGTTTTGTGCAGTCTGATGTCAATTCGCGTCCACCTATTGTTTATATTGTTTGTGGGGTGTTCGGGAAATATGTACGATACATTTGTTTTTAAGTCATGTGTATTCTAGTGAAGATTGGGTTTATATTTGATCCTTCACTGAGGTCTTCATTATTTTACCTTCTCGTGAGTTACAGTATATCATGGCCACCTTGGGAAAAACAAAACACTGTTTACAGTGTTTCCATTAGATTAGAAGCAATATTCTTCCCATATTCATGGCCCACTAGCCCTCAGTCTTACAGGTAACTTGTTGGCATCTCAGGGTTCACCTATGTCGACATGTCATATATGTTTTTTTATGGAGTCTCCCAAAATTCTAAAATTTCTTTGGGCTTTTGTCTCTCGAGGCTTTTGTTTGAACCTCTTAAGGAATTCAAGTGTGGGTCCGAAGTTGTTCACAAGCATACCACCCATGGAAGTTTTCAACATCTTGTGAGTTGTGCTCTTGTGGGTGCTGCATTATTATAAATTTTTGATAATCCGTACACTTATAGTAGCCGGGATTTAAAGATGTCTGTTTGAGAATTACTTTTTTCCCAATTGGGAAACAATATTTTCAAGTTTTGAAATTCCATGCATAGGAATAGCTATTAAATTGAACTTTGATTTCAGAACGATATATGGTTGAAGTTGAATTTGTTTCACCTATGGTAGCACACATTTTTAAGAGTTTCTATGGAAATAGTTCTATTTAATATGTGAATAATTGAACTAGTATTCTGCAAATTTAAAATTCCCCATTATGCACATTGTTCTTTTTTGCTTTTTTCTCTTGTTTCTTAAGATGAAAAATATGGCTGATGAATTTACTATCACTGCCTAGATTCTTGCTGCATCTGATTGTCAATCCTAGACTTTTACAATGGGAAATTTGGGGACTAGCAGAATTTGATGATTAGCAAGAAAATGAAGAACATGCCATTACATAGCGTTCTACAGCTGATGTTATATGAAACTACATTCTTGTTGAGTTGTATCTATGCAACCAGATATATTATGTATTTTCACTGAGTTTTGTATCATACTTACAGCATGATTGGATTCACAAAATATGATGGATTTTCAGTTTACATGAGCAGGATATTTGTCAATTTCGCATCCTTTGTAAAGATTTCTAGTTAAGGGAACATTATACAGTAGATTGATTGTTTCAACATGAGTTCAGTAATAATCAAGTAATTCTCTGACATTTTGATGAGTTGATTTTGGTAAATTATTAATGTTTCTAGGCTGTTATAATTCAAGCGAAGTTCTTCAAGTTGGAAAGAGGAACTATGTTCGTGTAGTTACATCATGAATGTAATTTTCAGCATATGGAAATGAAACTAGCTGATTTTTAATTATTGATTATTCGAAAAAGAAAAATATGGATCTTCATGGAGAAGGTACTGCAACAAAACTTGATATGCTCTTCCAATGCTAAGAATTTGTCTTGTTGAGTATTTCCATATTAAGTTTATGGCCATTGACTGCTCAAGTGTTGCTTCACATTGGGTTTCTTACTGCAGTAACTCTGTAACTAATATGATGAAAAAGTTCATATTTACTCTTCCTTTATTACCGCTCTTGTGCAATTATCAAAGTGTTTGCACCACTTAGGTCATGAATGTTCATATGCTTGGCATTGCATTTTTTAATAATATCTATAGATAAAACAATATGTAATTTGCAATGTGTTGGCAGCTTCATCTACATGAAGGAGGTCTACATGCTGATATCAATGGTGATGGAGTTCTAGATCATGTTCAGGTGCATTGTTCTATCATTACTTCGTTTCTTCAGCTATGGACTTCCTTGTTATGCAACTAATGGATTCCTCTTATAGCTGTGCAATTTCAACTCAGTTGATGATTTAGACTTCATATAAGAAAATAGAAAATAAAGACTCTGAATATCCTATATGGTGATGATGTTATCGGCATCTAATTACAAAACCTATCAATGGATTGCTATGGCTTTAAGCAGTTGTGCATGAACATGTACATATTGTCTTGGTCAACATTGACCAGTGGTCCTTGAGCCATAAGTACCAATGTTGTTTAGACCTGACCGGTGACAAACTAGTGAGGGCGCCAGTCCAGTCGGAATGGCCTGTCCAGGCTGGTTAATGGGGGTCAGATGGTTAGTCAAATTAAAAAAATTAGAAAAAAAAGGAGAGGGGGAAAATCAAGTAAAATTCAGAAAAATAGAGAATAAAAACTAAAAAAAATAAAAGCAAATTATGAAGATTATCAAAAACAAAAATAACCCATCAACATCAAGCAATAAGTCAATAGACTTGATACTCTGCTCCTTAATAATGAAAGATATCAATTATGTAACAAATAACTCAACTAAATATATAAGGCATAAAACATAAGTCCACAATAAACTTTGGCACAAATTGTAAAGACAAAGCTTATATAAGGTTGCAACCTTACTTGTATAAGTAAGGTTGTAGTAATCTACAATGTCTATTTTATTAGACAGAAAGATATCACACTTATCTTAAAAGATGTGCTACCTTTTTATGCTTTTTTAAAAGACGTGAGAAATCTTCATTGTTTGACTAAAATGGACGGCGTAGAATATCATTATTTTACTTCTACAACTAAGGTTGCCAGCTTATATAAATGGCACCCAATTGTAAAGCCCTTAAAGTTGAATATGAAAAACAAATGTACAAATAAAATTAATTTTCTTTTTCTCCCCCATACTTTTACAATTTGTAAAAGCCCTTCAAAAGTCAAAACCTAAAATACACAAATAATAACTTTAATTTTGGTGTTTCTTTACATTTTGGTTTTATTTTGTAAGGGAATCACAGCTAAATATATAAAAAAATACACAAACATTTTTTTTTTGTAAAACCCTAAATCCAAAACCTGAAATCTTTTGAACTTTTTTGCTTTTATTAAATCCAAAACAAGAAAAAAACTTAAAATAAATCGCATGCACTTACTTGGGGGTTGAATATTTCATCCGTTTGATGGGATTTTGTGCAAGAAAGTGGCTGGATTTTCACCCCGAGCCTCGGTTTTCCGGTTGAGAGAGAGACCATAGCCTCCCTCTCTCTCTCTCAAAAAGTATTTTTGTAACCTAAAAAAGAAACCGTGACCTTTCATTTTATCAATTGCCATATACAAACTGCAAAAGAACAAAAAAAAACTTCTTAAAAACCTTTTGGTGTATTGGCCAGTCCATCGGTTCAGGGTTGGTTCAATAGACCGGATTGGACAAGCCACCAATTCGCTGGTTTCCAGTCCCAACCGACCAGTTCAATCTGGTTTGCATAACATTGATAAGCATGAGGAAAATATCAAAGCTTTGAAATTCAGACCTTTCCCAAATGAACTTTCTATATTAGGCAGCTGCCTAGACTATTCAGTTGTTAATAGCACTATTTTAACCGTGAAACAATATTTAAAAACTTGACAAGAAATAATAGTTTACAAAATCATTCAAATGATACCCCCCAAAGAAAATTAGAAATCCAAAATTTACTTTGAACTTAAAATTCAATCCCCCAAAAAAATAACAAAAAAATAAAATAAAATAAAAACCCTAATTGCATCATTCTCTCGAGGTTGGGAATCGCTCCATCTCGAGCTTCTTGTTTTCGTTATATCCTTCAAAGGCCACTTGAATATTTGTTGATGAAGTCCATTTGTTGTATCCTTCAAAGGCCACTTGATTACTTGTTGATGAAGTACCACCATTCGCCTGGGTACTTTGTCCTCTTCAATGAACTAACTAGTCTAATGCTTAGAATGCAACTTATAATAATTCTGGGATGTCGAGCAAAATCTTGATTTTTTTTTGCTCAAATGGTTGTACTTCACATACTGCAACTAATGTGTCTTCTTTTTCATAAATCATAACTGATAATCGAATTTTTTTTTGATAAACACTGATAATCAAATTTTGTAGCACTTTGTTGGAGTATTGTCAACATCTTCTGCACTGAGGTTAACTTCTTTAAGTATCTAATATAGTCTCCTTTACTTGATCTCTAAAGTTAATAATTGGTTCTAGATCTAGTGGATTATGAGTAAGTTCTTCTTGACGGTAATTTTCTAATCGTCTATTTATTTCACCCATCTCTCATCGAATTCATGGATCTCGATTCGGATACCTTCCATGATTTGACTTATGCTCGCTTTTGTTTATTGATTCACAACCATTGCGACTTGTGGCGATATATCCTCGATCATAAAAGCAGATTTTGGAGGCATCGTGAAGCTTGATACCAATTGATACATAGAAGAGGGCAAATAAATCAGAAAACTAAAAATAAAATTAAAAGGATGAGAGATTATATTTTCTTTCATGCTCTGCTATGGAGTACAGTCCATAAGACTCTTTCAGAAGACCTAAAATCAACTCTTATTTTCTTCTCTCTTCGTTTTCTTGTCCATTAACAATTTGTAGAAAACATGCTCTCTAAGAAATCCTGATCAATATTAAATCATGGCCTTTATCTTCAAAAAAAATAAAAGATTAAAAGTTTTGAAATTTACCCTTCAATTCTTTACAATTAAACACAAATACCCCTAAAAAAACTAGAAACTCAAAATAACTCCAAACTTAAATTTCAGTCTTTCAAAAAAATAACAAACACTAAAAACCTAACAAAATAACAAAAACTAAAAACCCTAATTGCATCAGGAAGATGGAAGAAAGAAAACACAAGGAGAGTTAATCCAATGGGCTATATTGTTAGTTAAATTTAAAGTTCGTCATTGTATTTTCAGCATTGTTTGAAAATTACCTCTAAAAAGGTATTTACAAAATACTCTTCATTATTACACATGCCTGTTTTTTGAACTTCATAATCATTTTTTTTAAAAAAGACGAAACTACCTATTTTTGGATTTTCAAAAACCGAGATAGGGTCTCCAAACTCTTGCACAGTGAGCAAACCTTTTGTTCAAAACTTTTTTTGAATTGGTAGCTTGGAGAAACATCAGAAGCGTGTTTCTCTCTCTAAACCACCACCACTCAACAATTCTACTGCTTCTGTTGAAGCCCACTATAGTCTCTGCAACAACTTCAAAAGAGCCGATAGGTAGGGTGAGAAATATTTAAGTAGAAAGAACAAATGGAAAACCCGAGAATTCTGGAGCTCGAACTAGTGGATCTTAGAGAACCTGTGCGGGACCTTGATACTCTCTTCTAAAAGCCTCATTTCATCTGCAAAGAACTCGAGTTGAGATTGCTTCACTTTCAAAAGACGAATTAGAGCTTTTAATAGGGTTCGGCCATGAATAGAAGAACGTGAATCTGAATCACAAATGACACAGACCCTCTCCTCCATTATAGAGTCTCCACTCTAAGCTTTCTAATCAATTGAATCGAAGGAAACCTCAGGAACAACCCAACTCTCTTCTTCTCTGTCCTGTATTTCAATGTAAACAAAAAAGAAAGTTGTAAGGCCAAAGAAAGCCCAAATCCCTCTCTAGTTCCTGTACTTCAATGGAAAAGAAGGAACCCTCAAGGGAAACAAAAACCCAAATCCCTCTCTCTTTCATCGGTTTCAATGGAAATGAAGGAAAGCTTGAGGAAACAAACCCCCAAATCCGTCGCTGTAACTAAATGGAAATGAAGCAAATGTTAAAAAAATAAAAATTCAGTTTTTAAAAAACCAAAAATTTTAAAAATTTCAGTTGTTGAAAAACCGAAAATAGGTAGTTTGGTCTTTTTTAAAAAAAAAATTGTTATGAAGTTCAAAAATTGGATATACGTGTAATACCAGAAAATATTAGGTATTTTTGTAATATCATAAAATATAAGGGATATTTATATAATTTTTCCTTTAAATTATTAGGATATTATTGTTTGAAATAAATAGATTATAGCGTAATAAAAAACTCTATGTATTGAAATAAATAGACTGCTGCACCTTGCAATAAACATCAAGGTGTAAAGATGCCTGCCCCACCCCCAGGAGCCCCCACAGAGGTATTTATGGGCTCCCACCTAGGCAGCTGCCCTGCCGCCTAGGCCAACCTCTGCATTTTTTCACATTAATTTTTAGCTATGGAAAATAGATTGGTTCAAATTCAGGATTTGGCAAGTACTTGCCAAGCTGAACGGCTTGAGCAAGTCCAAATCGACTATAGCCCAAGTCTTGCCTAAGCTGGAAAAATGGCCAAAAAATGAAAAAATACAAAAACATTTCTGAAAAATCCAAAATTGGAAAAATATAATAAAATGAAAAAATTAAATCAGAAATTTATATAAAACATGGAATAAGACAAAGTTTAATATTATAGGCTTAAAAAAAATGAAAAAAATAGAAAAATAGCTAAATTATAAAAATCACAAATGGAAAAAGTGTATACAAAATGATTTTTGAATCATTTACAATTAATATAGCAAGAGATAAACTAATTTTATAAATTTAAATTCAAAAAATGATAATCCTTTCCATAAAGCTGCCTTGCACAACACAAAACCCTGGATCTGTTTTGGGTTTCGAGTCAGATCTAGGAGATCCAAGCTCTTGAAAAATTCAGATGAATTGCAAATCTGATTTTGAAATCTCTCAAATTCTTTTTTTGTTTTTTGTTTTTGTTTTATTGAAATCAAGCCTATGGTTGACCCAAGAACCCAATAAAAAAAAGGCTCAATAATCAAATTTCATTGAAGATCAATCATCAATAGCAAAGATATTGCAAATTCTCAAAATCTGGCAAAAACTAGGCCAAAATTTCTATCTAAAAATATGTTAAATTTGTTTTTTCTTAAATACTGTAATATCTAGCAGC